TCTCTCCTCCTTCCTGTCCCTCTCTCATACACACAGAGACAGAGGTCCACACACTCTACGGTTCTATGTCATTCTAATTTTGCCTTCATCTGATGGGCTATCATTATTTTTAAAGATTTATTTATTTATGCATACAAGAGCTGGGATGCAGGCCAGAGATGCTGCGGGGGGTGAGAGGATTCACCAGAGACAGAGTGGGGAGCAGCACAGGCAGATCTACTGAAATACACTGCTGAGGGGGAACAGCGGGTAAGACAGGAGAGGTCTGCTGTGCCAGATGTGTCACCTCTCTGGCTGGGGATCTAACTCCTGCAGATGGCTTCATAGTGCTGTGTCTTAACCCCTTGCACCACCAGGGAGGCCCCTGATAGACTATCTTAAGAGACCTTTCTCCAGTTGTGACTGAGATACTGTTATGAAAATAAGAAAAACCTATCCTTACTCCTCAGTTGTATTATAACACATCTCTGGAATTCAGTTAGTGGAATCTGTGATGAAAGACATTAACATGTCTTTGATACACATAACAGGTAGAAATGGCTATTAAGTAAACAAGTACAGGAAACAGTGGACAAACCTCTGATGTAGTTTCCAAAGGGGATACCATTGGTCATTCCAAAATTTTAATTGACTAATAGTGATGCTGACAGTGAGCATTTTTTACTTTCTACAAATAGTAGATAGAGATTTACAGTATAATGCTCAAATCTGTAATCTATCACTGAAAGGATTTATTTCCTTTTTGATGACAAATTAATATTTGGATTATAGTGGTTGATACATCATGGAAATCAGAAAGTTAAATGCCCTTTAATAGTTAACTTCACAACACTTTATAAGTTCTAATAATTTAGGTCTTGCTGAGATCTCAGATGGTTTAGGAGGGTATAGATTTAATACTTTGTTTTAACTTTGTTCCCATACTCATAAGACTATGGAATTCTCCTACACTACTGGTGGGGATGCAAACTGGTCCAACCATGTGGAAAGCTGTGTGAAGTTTCCTCAAACTACTAAAAATGAACTACCATATGACCCAGGAATTCCACTGCTAGGAATCTACTCAAAGGACACAGAAATATTAATTCAAAAAGGTACCTGCACGCCTGTGTTTATTGTGGCACTATTCACAATAGGTGAGATATGGAACAACCAAAATGCCCCAAAATAGATGACTAGATCAAGAAGATGTGTTGTATATACACAATGGAATACTACTCAGCAATCAAAAAGGTTAAACTCATGCCATTCACAACAACATGGACAGAGCTTGAAGGGATCATGTTTGGTGAAATAAGAAGGAAAAAGAAAAATATTGAATGGTTTCTTTTATAGGAGGAATTTAGGGGAACCAAATAAGGGATCAGGGGAAAAATAACAACAATAATAAAACAACAAAACTAGCAGGCAACCATAAAAAAGAGACATTCTGCGAGGGAGGGGAAGGGAGAGGGAATAAAATGGGAGAGAAGAGCACAAGGGAATATGGTGATGATGGCTCATGGGTGAACTGGTGGTGGGAATTTTATGAGGAATACACAATGATGTAAAAGACATAAATAAAAAATAAATTGTAAAAAATAAAGGAAAATACTTTTAAAAAAAAGATTTATCTATACATATAAGAACTGGGGCACAGGCCAGAGTTGTGGGAGGTGAGAGGATTCACCAGAGAGTGGGGATCAGAATAGGCAGATAGACTGAAATATACTGCTGAGGGGAGCAGCAGGCGAGTCAGGAGAGGTCTGCTACACCATGTGGGTTAGCTCCCTGGCTGGTGATCGAACCCGTGCTGCAGTGGCTGCCGCGAGCCTCATAGGTTGCATCTTAAACCCCCGTGCCACCAGGGAGGCCCAAAGGAAAATACTTTTTAAGAAGTAAAAAAATAAAATTACGATGTGAATTATATACAAACTTAAAAATAGACTATGGCATTATTACAATAATTGATAACAATTCATATCAAGATGAATAAACCTTTTGCCACTAGTGTTGTCTCTACATCCCAGATACTTGACATAATTTTACGTAATTCATTACCTAATTTTACATAATTACCTAATTTTACATCAGTTATTTTTAGGATGAAATTTGGAAACTACACATTTGCACTTCTTGTAATTCTCTTCAGGAGTTTGATTAAACTTTCCCTTGTGTTCACACAAGTTCCCAGCCTTTTCTATCTCTGCTTCTGTCACTGGCTGTCTTCTTTGGTGTGGTTCTGTACGAAATGGTGTGTGAGCACTGGAAGTCACTGTGTGATTATATAAGTTCATGTACCCCATGTCGGGGTCTGAAAAAGTGTTACTTTTTTCAATTAAAAAAGAAAAAAAGATGTTTTACATAACTGACTTTTTCCCCTTCAAACCAGTAAAATAAATGCAAAGACCATAGCTAATTTTGAAGTATATAATCATTGTATACAGGCATTTGAGTAAACATTTGTTGAAAACTTAGCCCTATACTTTTGCATGCTAAAGTACATTAAGAAATACGCTCATATTAGAATAGTGGTGCAAGCACAAGCAGGTGTGTGGCTATGTGTATGTGTGTGTGCTTGCTTTTTTGGAGAGACCGGTATCATCCCTTTTGCTGAAATAAGGAGTTGGCTGTATAGAATCTCTGAGACTTGGTTATCAGGAAATTGAGTGCTTGTGCTTACACACACACGAATAATTGGTGAAACATGGTGAATTATTCTAAGAAACGTGACTATGAGGTGTTATCATCATTTTACTTTGCTTTTCTTGCTTGCTCTGTTCTCGTATTAAATGTGTCTAACCTTTCTCCCCTTCCCCACCAGAGCTTTCTCTGCAGTCTTGTCACTTTCAGCTACCGTGGCTCTGTCTGCCTCTCCAAATAACAGCAGACCCTTTTTTGCTCATCAGTCTATTACTCTGGGAACTCTGACGGTAGCACTTAAAATATATAATAGTTCCCTTTCCAACATTAAAAAGCCGTAAAACCTTCATGTGAAATAGCAAAGGGAACATATATAGTAGGAGGAGAGGCTTTTGCTCCTGCAGGCACCTTGCAAAGGGGACTATTTTTCTTATATGATATAAATGAAATCTTCACTCTGCCCACTTTTACACCTACGCATGTACTGAGCGTCTCCAAGGAGACAAGGAAACCCGGAGTCCAGCGATGGTGAATCCTCCTCGGAGACAGCAGGCTGGAGTCTCAGGCAACACTCCCAGGCGTCTTGGCTTCCAGATGCCCCTCTCAGACACTCTCTTTTCTCGAGGCTCTTCCAGGCAGGCTTTCTCGAACATGTCTCTCCCTTCACAGATGAAATAGCCTGTACATTACCTCTGAAGGGCTGGTTGTGGTGAGTGCAGTAGGCAGAAGGCCTCCCTGGGACAAGAGGGGTGGGTGCAGTAGGGAGGTGGGATAGGAGGGGTCCATCTTTCCCAAGATCTTTTCTTTGTCCCCATTTCTCTATCTGTGGTTCTGTTTCATTGCTTCCTTTTGCTTCTCTTATACACAAAGGCACCAGCCAACCTCACAAAGTGTCTTGAAACTATTGTTTGTTACAGTAGTACCTCATGAGCTCGATTTAGTGAGATTATCCTTCTAGGAGAATTACTCTTCTTGTGGGTTCAACATTTTTAGGATCAATAATCCTCTTGACCATGCTATTTTCTTTTTCTCCTGAGTGCAGTGCATCTTCTTGGCTTCTTACCTTTCCCCCACTCCATGGTATCACTGGCACTTTTCTTGGAAATATATACATTATTTTCTTAAAGTGAAGTCGCTTCCTCTTTGAGAAATACACTATCACCATCAGTCTATTATGCTAGCTTTTTTAGACTATAGTATCAGATATTTTAATATAATTGGCCACATCTATGTGTGCATCTTCTCTAAGGCATAAGTAATTAATTGCCATGTAGAAATTATTGTTTATTAATCCCCAGGAAATGTCCTTTTGTCTTTAATCTCCAAGTACATCAATTAAAGAACATTTTTGATATCTCTTCCATAAATATTTTCTCAGTTCTCCTCTGAATTTATTCAAATAACCTCACTTTTCATGTGATTTTTTAGCACAGTGTCTGCAAACTTCAGTTTTCTGTTGTGCTTGTCCTACTGCCTTTTATGGAAAGGTGGGGCTAGGAATAGTTAATGCTTCCTGTTAGATTCTTTGTCAGTGAATGACCTCATGAGGATCTATTGATGACACACTTTTTCTTTTTTATTAAAACCTTAAAAAGGATTGGTCAGTCTCCTAATACATATTTGGAGAGTACTCTGAAGGACTCTTCTAATTTCCTTTTTCTTTATCTTGATCTTAGAATTTGATCTGTGTAAATCCTACCTTTAAATATAAGCCATCCATGTTATAAGCTTTAAAGAGTCACTTGTGTCAGTTTTGTTCACAGGTGCATAATATGCCCTTTTAGTTGATTTAGAGGTCTGATTTGCATTTTATCTCTTACATAATCCATTATTGTTGTCCTAGTTACATTTCATCTGTTTTGATCATCCTTCCCAAATAAATTTATCCACAGTGTTTTCCATTACTTATCTTTTCCTCTGTATGTGGACTCAGATGAGGGGAAATACTGCTTTCAGCTTGAGCCCCCAGGCTCCTCTAAAAAGAATTGGAGGAGGGTCAGGAAGGGTGCCTCTGGAAAGAGCCCCCACTTTATTGTCCTTAAAGTTTCTCCTGGACTCTCTCAGCTATCCTTCCTCAAATTCCTAATCATTCATAGTCTGTTTGATGTCAGATTTTTGGTAGGACTATCATGTCTACTTAGATGAATTGCTCTGCCTGAAGAACTGTGGTTGAAATGGACTGAACCTTAGAAAATGTAAACAAATTCTGGAAAGTTCTCCAACTTAGACTGTTGGGAAGTTTTGTTTGCTGTTTCATTTGCCTGAAAATGGGAAAGTAAGAATCCACTTGTAAAGTGCCCTTCCTGGAATCCTTGCTTTGAAGGAGGCCCTGAACCTGTGTAGTAACACAATCATTTTCCTTCCATTTTCCCTTTCAGGCACTTCAAGTGGCCAGGCAGCTCCTTCTTCAGCAGCAACAGCAGCAGCAAGTTAGTGGATTAAAATCTCCAAAGAGGAATGACAAACAACCAGCCCTTCAGGTAAGAATTTTCCTTAATTGATATTATACACCCCGGGATAGCTGATAAGCGACTCAGAAGTGGATTGTGTTGAGAATTGCAAATCATGTGAGAAAATCTATGAAGTTCAGAGTGTTAAGGACTTATTGGTGCGGAGGAGGATTTGGTACTTTTAATATACCTAGCAATGAATGTGATACACTATTCTTCAATTGTTGTTTTCAAAATAGCGCTGAATTATTAATAACAGAGAGCACACACTTTTTTGTATAAAGATACAAAAAAAAGATTATTTTAGCAACTTCTCATTTCAGGCACCCTGAGGGGAGGGGTTAAAGGAGTAGAAGAAAGAATTAATTAATAAAAATCTAATTTGGATATTTGACTTGGAGCAGAAAATTCTAATTGAAATTTCTAAGAAACATTACTTGGGGTATTCATGCCTACATCCAAGATAGGGCACTTGCTGGTACTGACTGACTCAGCTGCTTTCAAAGTGGGAGAGTGGATTCCCTGAAGTGGGAGGCTGAGTTTCTCACAATGGACAGTTTGGGACAGAATCTTTAAGTGACAGCTGATAAGTATAACTTAGTTCCAATTAATTCGATTTATGAGGTCAACCCATAAATTCATAGCTTGTGTTGAATTTTCTCAGATGAGACTGAACCAGTACCAGTTCCCAAATTATCCTGCGAAGACCAAACTGACCTTGGACAAGAAGTTCTAGTTCTTGTACATCTACTTGAGAAACACTCACTGTCTAGGGAAAATTCAGCACAGTAGTCACACTGTATTGAAATATTTGAATGGCAATATGCATTGTTTACTAACACTTCCAAAAGCAGTTATTTGGTAACAATCACCAGCCCATATGCCTTTTAGTGTGTGTGCATGCTGGGGACAGTTTTAATGAGGTACAGTGCCATTGAGGTCCCATGTCAGGTGCTATAAGAAGTGCTTTGTTGTGCAGATGTCTTAAGAACAGCTCTGGAGGATGAAATATGACTATGTTGACCTTTCAGCTGTGAGCTTATTTGTCAGGATTCAAATAAGTTGAAAGGATCAAACTGAACAGTTTCCATAGTCAGACTGGGAATTGTGTTTCAGAGGTCAGCAATGGAGGCCACATTGCAGATTCCAGAACATAGCCAATTGTTGGTACATATTAAAGTACCGGGGCATCTCCTGCAGACAGAGACACAATTAAAATTCTAATTTATTAATGTATACAGGGAGCTAGCCCAGCTTGTCACTCAGTGATTCAAATGACTGTCCGTTCCTTTTGCCTCCCTCTTGGAACTCTCACAGCCTTAAAAATACTGTGAGTCCTCTTGAATTTATCAGACCTCAGGTACATTGAGAAAATGACAATATATTATTGAAGGTGGGGGGGATCTTATACCTAGTATAGCTTTAGTTAGAAATAATATAAAAATAGCGTACACATACTCATTCTGTCTGGTGCATACTTTTCAATATTGAATATCATTTGTAATTTTTTTATACTAGGCTTATTTTCTCTCATACTTGCTTTCTAAAAGCATATGGTATTTCTGAGGTGACTTCTTTTCCAAGATGAATGAAGTTCCTTTAGGGCTAAATGTATGATGTTGTTTCAGGGGATTTCCTTTTGAGGGCTCTTTTCTTCTTGCCTATTATAAGGTTTGGAACTCCCAGAAAAGCATGACACAGACCTTCATTTTCTTTGTCAAGGCCTGTGTCAAAAACTACACTAACACATTCTGCTGGGCACTTCAGTCTGAGTAGAAATTGTGGGATCTGGGGGCCATCTTGAATGCCAGTTTTGCTAAAGATTTGTTGAGTTACTTGCTACCTCCTCTGTGGGAGAGCTGACAAGCAGAGAGTTTATACCAGAGTTGGTTGGGAAAAAATAAAAAGGATAGTTGACTGTTGTGTGCACTTATGCCTGCGTGTGTGTGTACGTGTGTGTGAGAGAGAGAGAGAGAGAGAGAGAGAGAGTGTCAGAGAAAGAGAGAATATTACTGAATGTCCCTCAGGTGCCTGGTAGGGTTATGCAGATTCACTAAGCTTTATTAGGTTGGCTGGACTTTCACAAACAGAAAGGAGAAATTACTAACCTGGGCCATAGCATGTGTTATTGTGTTATTAAAGTACCTTTGTAGACTGAGTGATTCACAGAAGGAATAACCTTCACATTTCAGTATATCTCGCCATGCTGTGTCCTTGCTGGGGCATCCCAGTCACAGCGCCTTTGAAATAAATGGGAAATCCTACAGCAAATCTGAACGGTGTTCATCTCTGATTTTCTTACCCTTCCTAATTACAAGAGACCTATTTTAGCTAATTTGAGATCTTCCGCATAGAGGAAGGCTTGACAGGGAAGAAGGATTTGATCTGCTGATAGTTTGAGGGGGAAAAAAAAAGAAACCCAAATCCCCAAATATACTGTGACTCATATTTTAAGCATATCTCACACTTCTCTGCTTTATGTTTGGCAGTGCTCTCCAGTTTCACAGGCTGATGATACAAACAAAAGAAAATGGAAAGTTAGAGGAGGCTCTAAGTGGTTACTCGATAGAGATCATGAAATGTAGTCAAACATTACCAATTTGGACTAATTTCAGAGAGATGAGAGTAAATAAGAGAGAAATGACGGCTTTACAGATACACATACCGAACTAATCTGAGCTGGCTTCATTCTTTGGGTGATGTTTCAAATGGTGGCGTTCATTGGGTATACCTATTGCTCTAAAAGTTCTTGAAAAATATTCTACATTGCAACCTAAATAACCCCTTATTTAGTCTGTTAATTTGCTTTGCAAATTTTTTATGAATGATACACATGAAAATTGAAAGTTGGCCCCATCCTAAATTCAGAATCAGAATCATGTGCATTAATTAAATGTGACATGGTAATAAGCATTTCTAGAACAGCCACAAAGTGTGCGGGGGCATCATGCTGCTATCCATGGTATGAAGCCATCAAGGATACAGACCCTACCTTAAGGATACTTCTGAGTTGTAAAAGAATTAACAAGGTTTTGCTGCAAAAAGAAAATTATATGAGTAAAAATAATAGGCTTGCTTTTATAAATATTTATATAATTCTGAAGATTGCTTAAACAAGTGAAATAAATGCTTAACGGTGCAGGTGTGCCCATAACCTCGAAAATGTATAACTTTACTGGCTGAAGATTAATTTGTGAGTAGATGAGCAATTTTATTGATCAAATTTTGGAACTTTGACCACCGTTTCTGGGTAGTAATTCATTTTGGTTCTTTAAGCATTTTAGTTGTTGGCACGGGTATATAAACTGGAAGGAAATCAAATGACACATTTTCTCCTAAGAAAGTAAAAGTACATGTGTATTCTGGCAGCATTAAAGTTAGGAAAGAAAGTAAACCTTGTGTGTTGCTTACAGTGGAAAGCTGACCAGTTTCAGGTCCTCTATAAAGAATTTGAACTTGAAGGCAGTCATCTGATAGTTTTCTCTCCTGCTTGTTCCCTTCCTTCCAAATTTATATCATGTGCAAGCCCCTCACAGCAGGCCATTCTCACTGGAAGTGGCGGGGAGAGAGAGAGCCACTGGAAGGTCAACCCTTTGGTCCAGTTGGAAGCTCAGTATTATATTGAGTACTCCTGTTTTAAGTAGAGGTTTTAAGTGGCTGAAGATACAAGATTTCAGCAGGTGTTTTCCAACAGTTTTATTTGCCATTATATACAATGTGCTTTAGGCAGCATTTTTATTTTGCATTAATGCCACATATAATCATTGTATCTCATGTCATTTCCATGTTATTCACTAAGGAATAAATTCGTAAGAGAAAACTTAAAGGAAACCAGTTATATGTTGTAGATAGTGAAATGGAAAGGTTTCGAAATTCTAACTCTTAAAAGATAGCCCTATGCCCTGAATTAGTAAAGTGGATAATTCAAAAAAGAGAGGCAGATTATTTTTTAAAATATGTAGCATTATCATGGCCTAGAACTGGCATCCCTGGCATTAAATTTATACGAAATAGTGAATTTTTTTAAAGAACTTTTTTTTTTAAGATTTATTTATTTATACAAGAACAGGGGTACAGGTCAGAAGTGTGGGAGGGTGAGAGTATTTACCAGAGAGAGTGGGGAGCAGAACAGGCAGACGGACTGAAGACACTGCTAAGGGGAGCAGCGGGCGAGGCAGGAGAGGTCTGCCATGCTATGTGGGTTTCTCCCTGGCCGGCTGGGAAACGAACCCACGCTGCAGAGGCTGCGGACAGCTTCACAGTGCAGTGCTCAACCCACTGCGCCACCATGGAGGCCCAAAATAGTGAATTTTTGTTACCTTTTAAGATTTTGTCATCACACCCCTTTGGACAATTCTCAGCCCCTAAAAATAAGTATTGGCAAGAAACAAAATAGAAATGATGCATTTAAAATGGTTATTTAAGTCTTTCAGATTACACATACCATTAAAAATATGGCACAGTGACCCCCAACCCTGCCACCACCATCACCTCCCAGAAAAATGCACATTTATACAGAATTTAGCAACTGGTTATAAGGGTTTCACAGACCTCAAAAAGTTAAATACTCTTGCTTTAAGAATTGTTTTTCTAAAGTTCTATGTTTCATCTTTGCCTACAAAATTCTAAGGTGAGTTGTAATAAAAATAAGTTAGCTCATTTTTGCTATTTCAGCTTCAGCTATATAGAGGGTGACCCTGTGTTCCAGCGTGCAAAGGACAACCACTGTCTCCACCTGTTGACTGGGTGTATTTATTAATCATTCTGACTCTCAGAATTATCCCAGTTTGAACATTTAATTACATGGTCACCTTGCTTACTTGCATTAAATGCACCTAAGCATTAAAATACAAGTTTGAAGCTAATATTTTATATGCATGCCTTTGTCATCACATACATATGCCACCATATGCAAAGATAATTAATATTTAGTCAGTGCTTACTGTAGCACAGCACCATAACGACACTATGGTCTAGGAATTTTCATTCAGCTATTCCGTGGATAAGGAAAAGTGAAACTTCGAGAAGTG